CCCCCCCCCTCCCCCAAAAAACCCCCCCCCCCCCAAAAAAAGGCAAATAAAAACCCCTAAACACCCTAAACAGCAAATAACACTGGCATATACCACAGCTTACAATGATTTAATTTTAAGCCTTTTGTCTACTCTTCTTTGCCCTACCACAGCATACCCTCTTCGCTCAGAGGGACACTACTGACACTAAGTCAAGGAGCCATACTGGTATGGAACCTGCAACGCTAAGTTTACAGGGTTTACCTTAGCTATGTTTTACATAACTTATTTTTCTATGCAATTTGGAATTGGTAAGGATTTGGAATTGGTAAGGAATGCTGAATTTAGAAACAAGGCAAATAGATGCTACCCATGACATATGAACTAACATCAGTAGTACCATATGAACTTTCCATCAGCATGGCCTTCAGCTTTATGATGTTCACTAGCAGTAAAAGACATCACACTGGCACTGTAAGAGGAGTACATTATCAGCTTACTGTTTGCATTCAGCACGCTTTACATTGTGTTGTCCGATGACCTGCACTGATAAGAGAAATACTATACTCACAGAACACTACCCAAACTGTCAACAGCTCAGAAACTGAAGCTAGGCTAGCGCTGGACTCTCCAGCAGCGTATGTTCCAGGGGTAGAATGCCTTTGTAACAACAGCACAAACTAACAGAATACGCTTCACTGCCATTGAATGCAAGCGTAGTGAGAGATCTAACAGAGACTTGATATTACTTTTAGGTATCTTGACCTTTATCAGCCTCTGCTAGACTCTTAGTGTCAGGATTTTTAAAACGTTACTTTTCATCAGCCCAGTAAGGTTACACATTTTATAGCAAAACTTTAAGTATTAAAGTCTCCTTAGCAGCCACTTGTGCTATTAACAGGTTATGTCCATTAACTGAAATGTAGCCATTGGTTTCTTGATCGCAATGGAGATATAGAGGTGGTGAGTATCTGGAATCTTCATCTACAGAATACACATTTAAAAGCTGTTACTTGCCAAGTAAGACACAGGAGCGTATTTCCTGTTGAGGGATTCCACTTCTTCCAATACATGGTTAAATACAGACATCATTCTTCTTTCATATTCACTCTCAACATGCGCTGTTCCATTTGAACTATACTCTTGGAAACTAGAAAATAAAATACACTGTTGTGCCAAGTACGCTCCCCCCAACTCAGAGACGTTCATTCTCTAACAGGTGCAAGAAGACCATCCTCTACTGCAACTTTACATCCACTAAGAAGTGATGCTGTTTTTTTAAACTGTTTACTCTGTTTCTCTACTGTAATCTTTCCACTATAAGACTTGCTCTTTACATTTAAACTACTTCTTTATTATAGCTTATTCACCACTTTCTGTCCTGTTCTCTCACGCTTGAAGCGGTTACAGGTCTAACTGAGATTGAGCATGCTTAATTGTCCTAGCTTTTACTCAAGTCTGCACTGTTTATAATGCTTTTAAAAGTTTCACAACTCAAGAAAATGTGAGTATACCAATCAGAGGTAGGAATAAAATTTAGACTTCCTGGCTCACAATCAGGTTCTTTGAAAAAATTCCATCTCCTAGACACCCAACTTTTTGAAGATCCTCAGCTGCATGCTTTTTACAGCTACGATTAATACACCCTCTAGATTTTGCTTAATTCATAATAAGTAAGGGCAGTCTCTCTTGTGATGTTTGCTTTTATTCACAGTTACAAAACTGGACATTAAAAAGATCTTTTAGTCACAGTATCTTCCATTTAATCTCAACTTGGAAGTTTCAAAGACTGATTCAACTCATAGTTGCTTCAAAGCGATTTTTGTTAGTGGGCATAAGTTTACCGTTACCAAAGGGGATGGGTTACATTAGAAGTTTAAATTAATCTAACAGATAGATTTGCAGGACTCTGAAGGAAACTCATGAGCACTCAAGAGCGCCAAGCAGTGGATATGACAGTTAACAAAGAACGGCACAAATGCAAATAGTATTAGATAAATAAATAGTAATGAATAAAATTTTCTAATCTCTTAAAACAGGAGACTTAGAAAGTTGCTTTTTATTTTGATGCAAATCTGTATTTAAGATAAGTCCACTATGTCTCTCTCAAGAGCACAATGAGTATAAAGAGCAGAACCTGAAAGACAGTCCCTACCCAGCCAGCTTCAGCACAGGGCCTCAAGCCTGCCCAGAGTAGAATCGCAAGGGTCCCTTGAGACATTTCTTAACTCCCAGGCTTGAAGCCCCAAGGATTTAGGAACAAAGAAAAACAAAGGAGCAGGAAGTTAAGTATCAAACCTACCTTGCAGATTCTGGATCCAAGATCAGGGCTTCTATCGCATGTGAAATCAACAGACAGCTCTGCTGTTGTCTGATATTTAATATTAAAGATTTAAAAGACTTATAAGTTTGGTACTTAAAATAGGAGATATGATATTTTATTACTAGCACTTTTCCTTGGTTCTCTAGTTTTCATGAAGCAATCCTACAACCACTACTCCTTTAGTAAGTACAGGACAAGAAGTACAAGAATCCCAAACTTTATGCTATTGGAGTTCTAACTTTTTCAGAAATTTGAAATTTCTGATTAATTTGAAATAATAGCACAGCAATACTTATTTCCAAATACATTTTAAGCAGTTTGTATCTGATTTTTGTGTTATTAATTGCTTCAATATTACTTTGTGTCTGCCTTCACAGAAGAAAGGATGGTTAAGCTTCATTCTGCCTGCACAAGAAGGGAAAGGGAAGCAGACAAATCGAGCTTTTTAAAGGATACAATTCTACGTTCCTTAGAGTTGCCGAGTCTGCGTCAAAAGATGACTGATACAGATCTCCATAACGTGTAGCCAAGTTTCGGAATTCCTCCATGGAGAGTTTCATCTACAGAGACAACGTTACTAGTCCAGAAGCAAACAAACAAACATGCCACCCCCACACAACTACGCTATAACCTACAACGCTGAAGGAATAAGACCACATACTCTGGCAGAATATCTACAATTCCTACTTCTTCACATAGCAAAATGCAGAGTGACAGAATTATACATGCTTTAAACATATTTCTCCTGTAATAAAACACAAGTACACCCTTTTGGGGTTTAACTCACTCCTTCCTCCCCTCCCTGCCCCCAGTGATTCTAACTGCTCTGTCTTTCAAAGACTGCCTGTGATTCCTTCTTGCAGAGTACATGCCTTTTGGGAGCAGACTGCCTTGATATTCCATACTGTAACAAGTCAGCTGTCAACACTCACCAAAAAAGTATTGCAGCATGATCTTTAAGTACTACTTCCTTTTAACTAGTGTAATCACAGTCTCTGAGGTGTTCCAAAGCAAGACGGAAAGATTTTGCTACAAGTTTCAGTGTTCTAAGTGGGTTACTACATGCATATCCTTAGAAAATGTGCGTGCATGAATATGTGGAAAAACCATGCAGATACACACAACCTCAAAACAAGGTCTGCTACAGACAGATATTTTTACAGTTACAATGGAAAAAACAAGGCCTGCTATATAGCAAAACACTTTATTGCCACTTTTCACTTCGTTTGTCAGAGAGAAATTTCGCTGCTCAGCAAGGTCATGCCAGAGACAAAACAAACTCCTCAAGAAAATGGAGCAATGAATACGTGCCTGGTTAGAGATGCGTCCACACCTTTGGAGATCATTTCCCGATGTCATAGCAATTGTGGTGGCAATAGCTGGTGGTGGACTTGTTTTTAGGCTGTTGCAGGTACAAATGAGTTGAGAAAAAGCTTGCAGAAGGTCAATCCTGAGTTTCACAAACCCACACTGAAAGCTCAGAGGATTAAGTGGGGTACTGGCAGCCTGAAAAACAGTAATAGGAATGCCTATAACGGAGGTCAAAAGCAAATATGGTAAAAAAATTTTGCAACACCACCGAACTGTCTCATCAGACAACAGAACTCTTAATTCTAAAAGGTGTTAAAAAAAAAAAAAAAAGCTAACATATTTCTAACATATTTAATCCATTTAAATCATACTGAATACATACACGGAAGTTTATGAAGTTACTAAGCTGTATTTCAAGTGCATCAACCTTAAAAGAAATGTCACTCAAGTTGCTACAACACTATTAGGGCTCCTATTCCCTCTTTTTCCAAGTCCAAGTCATCAGGCTTCAAATGGCAGTAATCTAGATGTTCCTTACCATAAAGGAGAGCATACTGAATTGCTGGACAGACAGAAATGCAAGCACTGAAAAAAGTGATTCTCTGTATCAGCCAGAAGACAAAGAATTGGCTGAAGTGAAGCAATCTGCAGCAAGTGGAAGGAATGAAAACCTTTTATTTTCTTAGAGCTGTGAAATGGACAGGATTATTATAAAGGCAATGAACCTTGCATTTGGTGATGGCAGAGACACAGTTCAGTGACAACTGAGAATATTAAATAACAGAACCCCCAAGAGGAAAGACATGGTGCTATTTCACAGAACTAATTTTTAAATAACTGTGGCTCCCTAAGCGCTTCTCTGGCTTGTATAAGCATCTGTGACAGCTTAAAACACCCAGGAGGGGGCAAACGCAAATCAAGCCAAAATTCATTACTTATTTTTCCTATATTGACACATTTTGAACTCCCCGCCAAAAGCCAACCCCACTGGGACCTTCTCTTACTCACAGAATGGATAGGCACGACTTATTACGCATGTGATTCTCATTCCTCATCAGAACGGACACTTCTGGAGGAAAGAAACTTCCCCTCTCCAAAACCTTACGAAGAGCTAGTTTTTTGCTGGCAGGAAAGCAAACAAGTTTATCTCCAAATATCTTATGTCATCTGAGAATTACCCTGCTATTGACCAAAGTGAGGCAACATCAGCCAACCACAACTATTTTAATTTAGAACTACTGAGCTAGATTTCAACCTAAGAAATAAGACTAATTTCATCACTTGAGCCATTCAGCCCCTCTTATCACTTTGCCTTCCCTTCTCCAAGGGCATGAAAAAAATTTAAATGGAAATTGTTCAAGAGTTTATTCTGGAAGGGTGGCTTCAAAAACCCTCTGTGGAACGGACCTCATTGTACTGTAATTGCCCTACAGAGACTACAGGCTTTTGTAGAGAATAAAGAAGCAGTACTTTGTATCAGAAAATCCAGACATTTTTAGTAGCACAAATTGGACTGGATTCTTGTAAATGGAAATACAAGCTTGTCTCATTAATACTGCCGTTTACATTATCTTCTGCCCATACAGCCATGGACAATAAATGAGCTAACTGTACTTTTTGTGAAAACCACAGAAAAAGTTCTTCAGCTTAATTAAGTTCTTCAAGTAACACCACTGTTATCAGCATCTTTGGAGTGAGTGCTACTTAATGCTCTGCTCAAGCTTTGTCCCTTCTCTAGTATACCTAGAGTGAAAAATAAGCATAAAGCTTCCAATGAGATACAAGTTCTGGGCCAGAAAAAGAGTAGGCCCTATCTCAAAACCTTTGGTAACTATACAAGGAAGCACACAGCAACGTAGATGGCAACTGTGGCTGATACCCCTTCATGTCCCCAACTTCTCTTCTATATAGTAATGTGACTTTTTTCAAGTGGTATAACTCACAGGAAAGAGTATTTTGCATACAGCAATGCAAGAATGATGTATACCAAGAAAAATTTGAGTAACTTTCTGACCAGAAGACACACTGTCTGCCTATTTCTTCACTGCTAAGATGGGCTGACTGAACAGCTGCAGCAGATTACCTGGCACCGTATTTCCAGCTTCAGAGTGGATAACTACATAGACTTTGTCACATGTACTAATAGTCTGCAGTGCAGGCTGGGCTCTGCAGTACCTTCGGTGCTGAGTCATGCTCTACACTAAAACAGAAGCAATGGGAAAGCTAACAGTGAAGGGGAAGAAGAGAGAACCATTATCACATGCCCCTTAAGACGCTTTACTTCTCTTTGAACTGTCGAGTTCTTTAGATGCAAGCGTTGTCTCCTTTTACAGTCAAGACAGACAAGGTTAGGAATTTGTCCAGAGTGATGCAACAAGTCAGCAACAGCTTGCAGTAAAACCCAGTTTTGTCTTATCTGGCCCTCTGAAATCTGTACCTACTCCTCTAGACCACAACAGCCCACAGGGAAGTGCTTTTCTGGGTGCAAGACCTATGCAATGCACAGGATGTGAAGTCAGTATAGGAGATGAGGACACTAACACTTCAATAGCAGGGGAAAAAAAAATAGTAGTCCAAGAAAAGGCTAATTAAATTACTGAATCACAAAATGACCTATTTAAGCAAATTATTTTTCTGCCTGTTATCAAATATTAATACCCAATTAGATGGGCTTACCTTCCCACCAGGCTTTTAGATGTTAGAGAAATCTTGAAACGTTGAGTTAAAAGCCTTATTCACGCAGCCAACAAATTAAAGACAAATACTTCAGGAATGATAGAGCTTTCTCTCAAAGGACAAAGGCATGTAAAAAACTGATTCGGAGCAGTTTATTAACAAACACTAACATCTGAACTGTCCTGACACTGACAGTCCTAGTAAAGGCAAAAAAGTCAGCAACTTCATTCAAAAGACATACCAAAATCCACATATTAAAGTCTGTTTATGGAAAGCAAAATACGAAAGGAAGTATTCTGTAAAGCTGGATCATCTTTTGCTAAGAAGAAATTTCATGGTGAGAACTGAAGCCCACATTCATTAATGCCTTGCCCCCTTTCCCCCCCCACCACATAACTTCTGGCTATTTTCATCGCTTTAAATAAGGAGAAACTATTTGCTTAAAGTAGATACCATCTGAATTCTGCTGACTTGAAGAGATTGACTTGTCCTTCTTCCTCCTACTGAACTGGTGTTGCCTTACATTCGTCAGGATTCCCTAGAATCATTTCGTCAAATATAAGGCAACACTAATTCAGTGGGAGGAAGGAGGACAAGTCATTCTTCCTACACATCTCAAGAAACTAGCAGCCAGTTCAGACAAATTCCCAAAATTTTGTTTAGACAAACTCTAAGTGATTACAACATTTAGCCAGCCAAGAGAAAGGGTGGAAAAATTTAAATATTGCAATTAAAAAAAAAAAATCTGGCAAATACCACATGATTTGATTAATCTAAGAAGTGAGGGGAAAACACAAAAGTGAAAAAGATCTTAGCTACAGGATCTTCTGTCTGAAGATGCTGTGGGTTACTATCAGCTTTTCCCCGTAATCTTTTCAAAAAGATAGTCCACCAGATGCCAGACAAACTTCAAGAGTTTGAGAGCTTCAAGAACAGAAACTGAACAGCTCTGCTACAGTGCACAGAATCAAAGTAGAAGATCTATGCTAACCGTCAGTGATGCTATTCCCTTGTGATAAGATTTTAATGCTTCAGCAATGCAAGAAAGTGCTGAACTATAGTTGTCCTCTTGCAAACCTGTCAAACACTGCTCTGCATGGGAGAACTCCTTCAAACTGTTCAGCCAGAAGTAGAAGTGTTCTGAAGCCACCTGAGTCAGCAGGCTTTGATACAGCTCTCTGGCCATGTCATGGTTGCCCTGTAATGACATGAAGGTTTGAGAAAGGAGACAAGAAAGAAGGCTGTGGGTTTCTAAGTAACATATACAAACAACAGAACCGTAACACCTCCAGAACTACTCTTCCACTTTAAAGATAGAAACAGTGAACCTTCCTCCAATCATTTGATAGCAGCAATCCTAGAAATAAGTAAAAGCAGAGAGGCTTATGCCATAGATATAGCAGCCTGTATAAACTTTATTTACACAATACAGCCCAATAGGGCGAGAAAAAAAATCTAGACGTTTGCATTCATTTTTGCTGAAAACACAGGACCTAGATGAAAGCATCTTCACAGTAACATTGGGTTCGAAACTATCCAATGAGCCCGGAGCTTAAAAGCAGGAGCCTTGTGAGTTACCAACACACTGCTATGCTCTGTCCTCTCCTCTGCGATGTGTACTTTCTCTGTCTAAAATTACCCCAGCAACTTGTGCTATAATACCTACATAATTCCGACACTAGCTGCAACTTCACTGGAGGGAAAAGAACAACAGTATCTTTTATTTCCTTTCCTCACATTGAAGAAAGAGAAGCTCATAGCAGGAGGGCCTGTATCACCTCCCAGAGAGCAGCCAGTCAAAACAGATTAGGCATACGTTCAAAAAAAGTATTAGGTCATTACTTTCTTCCTTCCCAAATACTTCAGAAAGACAAATGGCTAGAAGAACCATCCTAATGGGATGACTGCCCTGAACGGCATTTATCTGAATCAGCACTCCAAGAAATTAAGACAGAAAATGACATATTTCTTCACCCATTGGTTTCCTTCCTCTGAGCCCTATCACTTTTCTTACTTCTTCTTTCAGTTCAAAGAAATTGCTAGCCTTCCTTTCACCACACCAAACCACTGTGCTCCAGGTACTTTCACTTACCATTCTGGAAGCCTGCCTGGCTATCCTGTAGGCTGTCCATCCATTAGAGGCATTCTCAAGCTGCTGTTTGATAACAGTTTTGACTTCTGAAGATAAAGCTTTCTGACTGGAAACAAATATCACTGTGGCAAGAGACACCTAATGAAGAGCGGAGGGGAGAGGAGGAAGGTTATAATTCAAGAAGGAAAAAAAAATACGCGTTTCCTAAACTATCAAAAATGATCTACTTGGTTTTGGACTCAACACTTTATAGAGGACTAATGTACATTTTAACTGGAAAAAAAAAAAAACTTTCTTAGTCATATCTTTTAAATATTTGGGCCAACTCAAGTATTTCTTATAGATTAAGGTCAGACTTTCATTTAAAGAATTTTTACTGCTGCCCTTAACTGGGATTAACAAACTGAATTAATAGCAAACTTATCATTTCTTTCTTAAAATTCAAAGTCATTTCCAAATAGACATAAGAGCATTTTTATCTCTTACACTGTATTAAAAGTCATGGGGGACTATGCATAAATTGAGATAGTTAACTGCCATTTTGTTTTTCTAGAAGGTTACTTCTGCAGAATACCCCAATAATTTCAACAGTTAGGTGTGTCTAAACAGTGCCATCTGCTGGAAAATCCGATGGAATATATTGCACAGTTCAACTCCATCTATATGAGCCATGAGATCTTGATGTTGAACACCAGCATAATTAAAAGTTAAAGCAATACTGAAAGTAAGGCTATAGACTGACACATCAACTTGTAGACAAGGAGCTTAACTGCCTCTTTAAATAAAATTCATCTACAGTCGTTTCCATGGACTTTATCCTTTAAGGGCAACTCAACAGAATAAGGAGGTCTTACCAAGAGTTCCTGTTTCTTATCTGTGGCAGATCGTCCAATGACTTTATAGAGGTCCATGAGGTCTCCTAGCATTCCATCTGCTAGGACAGGCAGCTGCATGGCAATAGCTGCTAAACAGTGGCACATGAGAATCCTAGCAGCATCCTGGGCACTGTGCAACTGGGTCAACAGGGATTCAACCACTGACTGGCTCAGGTGGGGACGGCACTTGACCAACTTCACCATACAAGTTAATGTGATCTGTAATTCATATACATCAACGGACACAATGAGCATAAGGTCTTCTTAAAACAACAACAACAAAAACCTAACTAAAGTATGATTACAGAACTATACAGCTGATGGTATTTTCAGAACCACGCACTGAACAAAAGATGAGCTCTTTAAGAGCTCAGGCCGCTGTCCCTCAGCTCACAGAACATATCAAAAACTCAAGAGAAAATACTCTTCTTTGTCACATTAGCCTTTACACATAAATAAGCTGATAACCGTGCTGTTAACAGCTTATGGAATAAAACAAAACAGTAATAGTTTATAAAAGTGTTGTATTCATGTATATTGTGTCCCCACCTCCTAAAATGAGGTTCTTTCCAAGAGTCTCTTAGGCTTCCAAAAACGGCTCAATCTCATTTTCAAGTTCATGTTTTAGTACACCTGTTCCTCTAACTGGAAGCAGTCTCTCTTTTTTCCCCCTACAACAATCAACTTACTTTAGCGCTGAGAGGAGTTATATTACAGCTGTGCTCAGTTTCTTTACCACTCTGAACTCACATTACTGGCAGAGAACAGAATATTGATTTCTCTCCTGACAGTACACTATGCTTCCACCAAAGGGGAACTGATGCAGAGAGCTCTTTCTGCTATACAAGCTGTTACTTTAACTTCAAGCTGTGCCAAGGAAAGACAGCATTACTGTCACCTTTAAGGTTGCTTGAGCTCCTGGACTGCCATCTTGACTACAAAGAACAAGAAGAGACTCTAATCCAAAAACTGCATCTTGCTCCAACGGCAGGAGATCTAATAAAAAGAAACAGATAAAGTAAGTTCCTTCTTATAGCTTCTAACCTTCCTCAATGTAACGCTTGCACTGGTGTTGCACTGGTGAAGACACTTCCTAGCGCTTCCAGCTTACCCTATTTTGTTTAGGATCAATTCTGACATTCCATGTCTCAGATACTCATGCCAGCTATGATGTTTTTAGGGTGTGCATAAAACCCTGGGCTGAGACTTCTAAATGCCACGTTACTCTTTTCAACAGATTTTGTGCCAAGAGTTCTCAAAGGCAAGTCACTAGTCTGCAGCAAAGGTAAAGCAAGCATTTATTTAGCAGGAGTTCTACTATACCCATTCGTTTTCTCTAAATTAGAAGATGATGGAATCTTCACAACCATTCATAAAATCCTAGAGAACATTTTCTAGTAGATTACTGTCCCCATTCCCCCTAACCTATGGGAGGATCGTGCTAGCACAGGAAGAGTTTGCATGTAAGACTAGTTAATACGCGTTACGTGCGTGAGCCTGACTGTGAACAACCACATCCCACTGTTTTTGCTTTCAGTTACCTTTCTCCTGACAAGAGGCTGATATATTGGTCAGAATTCTCACTCCGTGAGCTGCAATGCCACGGTTATTATGGTAACAGCACTCCTGTGCTAGTTTTACTAAATCAAACGATCTTGCAGATGTAGTGGCTGTTCCTAAATAAGGACGAGAAAATGGGACAGGAAACAGCCCAGTCAATTATAGCACAACATCATCTCAAGCACAATTCTGCACAAAATCTACACCAACTTGGTTTAGTTTATTTCCTATACCTTCATCCTATCCTCTCTCTCACACATTCACACATAGATAATATATATCTTCTATATCCCTATATATAGGGAGGCTCTCCTTCCTTTCCTAAGCAACCAACACCACCACACAAGTTAGACATGAGAAAGCATATTCAGGTCTAAAGGCTGACATTTCAGGGACTTGGAGGTCTTAAGAAAGATTTTATCCAATTAAAAAAAGCTAGCGAGCATATTAATTATTAAGACATGCCAGAAAGACTGAAGAGAATGTACTAGTTTTCTTCATTTCTGCAGCCCATACGGCTGGGCTCATCACACTCATTAAGGCAGTCTGGCTTTCAAAAAGAAAAAAGAAAACAGTTTTATCACCGTTTTAAGAACATAGGAAGAAGGACTTCAAAACGTCCACTTTATTTCTTCAGAATACAGTCACAAGGCAGAAGCATCACATGGCTTCACTGTGCCAGGGTAACACAGCAGCCCACTCGCACACCATAAAGCCTCCATTTATTCATACTCAAAAATCATGCACATCCACCATTTCAGAGTACCTTAAGCTGAAACACGTTAGCCATTTGAAAGGCATTAAATTTCCTCATTTTATGAACAAAAGCTGAAAACCCAAAGGTAAATAAAACTTTCACATAGCAAATTACACCCCCCTTCCCCAAATCAGGAACAGAATCTGAGACAATGATTATTCTTCAGCATACATAATACCATTTCAAGCTGACACAACAAACGTCATCCAGCTCTCAGCTAGGGTTCCTGAATTCAAGAATACTTTAGAAATACGTCATCAGGTGTTTAAATTAACTGAGTATAAGCAGGTAGCCAACCCATCAGAAAAAAATGCTAAAGGTAATAACCACATACAGCTTTCCTACCTGGAGCACTGCTGAAGTACTGCTTAATGGCAATGGTCCCTGATAGTGTGGAAAGAACGGACAGCATGCCCAGTTTCAAGCTGTCATAAGGAGTGTGAAGAGCAGATTCACAGAGTGCCTACAGATCAGAAGGAAGAACACAGGGAGTGAAGGAAGCCCTATAAGTCATCTGTATGTAAAGATTTGGTTTTTGCCTATGAGAAGTTTTGAGAATCAAATTCTTACCACAGAAAATACGATACTGAATTAGTAAGTTAAAAATTGTTACGTGAAGCATCAGTTTTAGTAGACTAAAGATACAGCTTGCAGAAAAGTGACAGTGGGTTTTGTACACTAGCAAACACCCAGTAAGTTATTTATTGGTAAAAAATAACGGCAAAAAAATATGATGAGGTCTTCTTGATCAAATGTTGCAAAAGCTTTTAAGATAGTTCTCCAGTCTACTAAAGGCATATTGAGTATTTTACCCTATCTTCTAAGGTCCCATAGAGTTACAAGGGCACTGCTGAAAATGAGAAAATAATTATCTTAGAGACAAAGTCAACATTGCTTTTGTCCTTTCTAGTACACCTTTCTGGATGACACGCTCTGCAAATCCCATACAGACACTCTCAGTGCTGCAAGAGAGCATTAACACATGCTCAGTATTGTAAAATGAATGAAAATATTCAGCTCTGATGTTTACTACCTTAGATGAGCTTGTCAGATAGAAAAATTACTTCCTTACTGTAAACATGCCTATTACACGAGATGTGCCTTTTTTCAGCTATAATACTTCTCAAATGTTCAGGAACATCTGGCTACTCTGCTTGACAGAGTAACCTCACTTAAGCATATGGAGATGCATATTCTTCCCTCTTTAACCTCCCCAACTTGTTCTTCTTTTCTAAAAGAATTCTACAACTCATTGTAAGGTTCTACAATAAAATTTAGCTTAAAAATGTATAAACCTGAATATTTTCTCTACTCCACGTATGTGGTGTCTTATTGGCCAATAACTTCAAGTCTTGGATCGCAAGCCTCTTCACAGCCTTCCTGGGGTCATTCTTCAAGTATTGCAACAAAAGCTGGACCTATAACAAGGCAAATGTATTGTTTAAGACGAGAAGATACTACTACAAGGAAGTCTTTTCAAAAGTACTCACAAAGGAATTTTGAGCATACTCAGCCAAAACTACCGTGTATGATCTGTTAGACTGCTTGCTACATGGCAAAGCCTCTACTCAGGCTGCGATTTCATGGCAAGTGAAAACAGTCCAACAGCTGAGAGCCCCCATCCTGCCTCTTGCTCATGCACTATTCTCTGCATCACCCTCAATACATAAGAGACCTTGAGAGCAGTTTCAGCTCTCTTAACTAACAGAAATACTACAAAACTTTCCCAGGAAGCTGTATAAACTGTTTATACTACCTCAATTATGCTAATAGGAAGTACTCAGGGCATTTGAAGCTAACTCAGATATTTGCATAACCTGCAGTCAACACTGATAGCAACTCAGATATATTGTGTATGTCTCAGTAGCTGCCAGAAGTCACACGAACCATTTACCTCGATTTAAGTAATACTTAACTACATCTCCTTTATCATGTTCACTTCCCGCAGATTTACAGAGATGGAACAGCCAGCACATGAGAGAGATCAGGAACACATTAGTTTTGGTTTTGTTCTCCATCCCCGCTCTGGCTACATCACTTAAAAGCAGCACAGGCTGCTGCAGAAATAGAACCTAAAGCAAAATGCTTACCGCCATCAAAAAAAAGGAAAAAGGCACATCAAGCGTTTCAATGTTGTTTCATTTGGCTTAGATTCAATACTATCAAACGCACCCTTTGAAATAAAGGAATCACTCGTACCAAGAAGCAGCTTCAGACAGATCAATCCTATTAGTCCAACAGTAACAGACACAGATCTCGTAGAACTATGGAAGGCTGAAGAAAGGCCAACAGATTTTTATGACTAATTGCAAGCATGAGTTACATGAATCACAGGCGTAGTAGTGTCCTGACTTGCTGTATAAATCATGCCCACAAACCACACTATCAAAACAAAAAGGCATTATATTTTTCCATTGCCACTTTCTCATAACTTGATTTATAGTCCCAAATTATAGCAATAGATTCAAATTTCTCTAAGTTCTTTAAGAAATACATTTTAAAATGCACTCTACACTGTCGAAATATTCATTTGCCTGCATGCAAGGAAGGTGAAAGAAGGCACTCCCACCACCCAAGAGACCATACAGCAGCGAGAAGTGAAGCCTAGGTTTTTCAGGCAAGATGAAAAGCCTTCATAAGAAGTATGGGTGCTTCCTTTCCTAAAGGCTAGTGGATTTCCAAGAAAGACAAGTTATAAGGTATAAAGGAGGGTTCAGATGTTTGAGGGGATTATCTGGAAACGAGACCAGAGAGAGCAAAATACGAATGCAGCAACAGCTTTCAGGGTATTCTTTCTCTGTAACACATCGGTGTGACCAGCCTAGCACATTCACCAAGATTTATTTTCAGCATCAGCTAGGATATAAGTTTTTAAAACTTGTTTTGTACTTTAAGTTGAAGGAATGCATTTAAGAAGAGTTACCTGTTTAGGAATGTCAACCAAAGAGGAAGCAGCAAGCAGAGTAAACGTGTGCAGGGTAACAATGACCATCTTGGTAGAAGGATATGATGTTACCAGCTGCTGAAGCAGCTGCCGGGAGCTGGAGGCCAGGCTAGCATCATGATGCATGTGTTGCAGAATAGGGATCAACTTCAGTTTCAAGTCCACAGGTGTGGCTAAACCTGTAACATGGAAAGGAGAAGTATCCAAAGCATTAGCCCTTTGTGCTGGCTTTTGGCAGATACCGAGACACACCGTATGTCTACACTGCTGCCACTGCAAATTGTACAGACTCCCGAATTAGTTTCAAATAACCTTAACGCTGGGTAGCAGCATAACCACCAGGGCATCAAGTGCTTTCAGAGTTCCTTGGGGAGGCATTTTTTTTTCTGCGCTGGAGGTAACACCCATATTAACTCATCTGAAGCCCACCTCTGATAACCTACAAAAGCTTATTCACCATATATTTTGGAAATTTAACATTTTAAAGAGTATACATATAAGAGCCAGACACTGGATTATTTGTTAGTTCATTTAATTTCAGAACTGGAATCATGTGAGGATAAGGGCAACAGTATTCCGATAAGATGTGCATATGGATAACAAAGACTTTTCAAAGAAAGTAAAGCTTTTCCCTTTATCATTTAATATACATATATACCTTGAATCATCTCACTGATCTTATTACATATTCCTGCAGCAAAATCCCTGTAGAGAGAAGACAAAGCACCAGGTGAAATGAAAACCAGATGGACCACCAAACATTACGTTTTAACAACAACAACAATAAAAACTTTTACAAAGAATGCTTGCCAAGACTTAAAAGCTTTTTAGAAACGCAGGACACAGGCGCGATCAAGTGATACAACGGGAGCTTCTTCAAATGTGTCAATATGACAAGCAGCAATATATTTAACTACCTAATAAATACTTTCTGTACAATAATCCTTGATATTCTTAAAGTCTGCTCTTCCACTTGCCCTTCCTGTATTTGTGAACTTTTCAACAACTTCAGAAAAAAAAAATCCGTTAAATTTGAATTCAGATTTCCTACAATACTATTATTATACATAATTAAATGTTTTACTACAAGTGACATCACTAATACTACCGGAGAAAACACTAGGTTTTGTGAATGATAGTGTCAATGGAGTTTCCATTCTCCGTAATATGAAAAACTGAAGAATTTACATCTTACTTTGATTGCGCAGAAAAGTTAGCAGCAGCATATATAGCAGCTTCAACTTCCACATTATCATGGGAATCCAGACTCTGACGAATACTGTGATGTGCATTCTTCCTTTCTGGAATTATAGACGCCATGCTGCCCAACATCCTATAGAAATAAAACACAGAAGAATTAGGAAGCACAATGCCTATGAAGAAATGCAAGATGAAACCAAACAGAACTGTAAAAGGACTGGTTAAAAGACTTTGTTTATATATAAATAAATGCTCTTTCACCTCTATTACAGAGGCAAGCAGAAGATAATAATAGGCATATAATTAAAATGTAACAAATATTGGCATATAGCTTCTGTTAGAGGTTTAATAAAACCCATTATATTTTAGTTCAGTAACTTTGTAGCTTGAAATGGGCACAGTGAAAAAATTTTACCATCAAGCATTCTTATAGAACTAAGAGTGCAATATGGTACTGGGAACACTGAGTATTTTTAAGATGCTTTTAAGCTCTGATATCAGCCTGACAGATTTAATGCTATAATGTATTAATGGCTATTTTCATACATGCATGAGGCATACATTATGGGAATCAAATCATAAACTGGGTAGTCTCAGGGGATAAAAAGAACATTTAGAGAGCCGTTTCCAACCTTTCTATCCCTCTTCCAGCTAAGACTGCTGAAGTAAATAATTGACAAACATCTGGAAAGTCAGAAATGCTAACAATAAGCAACGTTTCCAGAGTGTTACCAGAACCAAGGAAGCAAACACCAAACTTTCATCATTTGTTTCTAAGATAATTTGCTGATCTGAGATAAGGTTGTTATTGGTAATGGCGTAGTATAACTGCTAAAAAAGGAACAAAGTACCTATACTTTTATTAAGAATACCTCAGAAGTATCTTTCACACATGTAGAGTCAAGTACAAGACAATTAAAATCAGAATGAATATAGGATTTGGACTGATGGCAATTTTAGCAAGACTTATACGTATATATTTATACACAGCTATCTAGCAATAAAATTCCTGCCTAGACACAAAGTTTTGTTTCAGCCAACTTTTCTTTTGGCATGTTCCTTCTTATTGATACTACTCAAGGATGACAAA